AGTAGTATTAAACTTTACCTTGTGTTTTCACTCTCACTTAAGTCCCTCTCCCTTTGCCATCAATCCAAAATAAGCTGAGCTGCAACATTATACAGACAGGTAATAATCAACATAATCACAAGGACACAATATGGCTCTGCTAAAAACACTCACTCTTACACGCACCAAAGTTATATTTATCTAATATTTAACTCCCTCCACCCCGCATACAATCCCGTTTATAAGCCCCTCTTCTCTAATTCAACAATGTTGGACGAAATGACATTAAGAGAACGGAATTTACAATTAAAAGGCTGTTCAACGTGTGTTGCTAACTTGATCCGGTATCCTAGCTTTATCTGTTATCTGTAAACGTTCCCTAAATCTACTAATTTAGGGATAATCCACTGACATCCTTTAATACACATGTTAATTTGAATCAGATGTACTGATAATATCCGCAATATAAATCTTTAAACTTCTTCTTACCTTTAAAAGTCCGTCACGAACGGTCTATTATGCTGCAACTCTACAGCTCTGCTAGCCTTGGCGCTAACTTCCGGGGAACGATTGAGAGGCTCAACGATCCGCCATTGCTGTAAAAAGTGGTCCATTGGAGTGAACGGAGATGACGTAACTCTCAGTCTATACGGCGCTGGCAAGACCCATTGCTGGTATGATAACAACCTGTTACTAAGCACACAGGCATCTTGTTAAAGTTATCTTATCTTAGCTATCTCTTATTTGGTGGAGAAAAAAAATTGTAACATCAGTTATGACATCACTTACGCGACTCTGGGATTTGTAGTCTTTCTAGTTTCGTATTTTTCATAGTCTTATATTTCAACAGTTTTACGAAAACTGTGACTTTTTTGACATGAAAATGATTTTTTAAGATTTAAAAACATCATATGTGTAATTCATGGCACAATTAAATGGGATCGAAAGATAAGTTTTCTCTCTCCATTGACTTCAATACATAATTTTCATTAAAATAAGGTCCCATGGGGCGGAAGTAGATGGGCGGGACTTCTCCACTCTATACCCTTTCCGTACAAGTTGAAATGTTGAAGTGTTTTGTGAAATGCTGTAGTGTTTTCTGAAATGTTGAAGTGTTTTCTGAAATGTTGTTTTGACTTGCACTTCATTGGGTGTAAGGTACAAGTTCAGCTACAGCCAAAATGCATTGATCCTGTTTCAATCTATACTAAATCCAACAAGGAGAAACATTAATAAATGTACAGGTTCTCACCCTGACTGTATTATTTGGTGTTTACAAGTATTAAGGACTAAGAACACCATATATGGTTATCATTAGAATGAGCATAACATTAACCTATTCTGCTTAACTTTGTTATGGCTTGGTAAAATATGAAATGTACATATCAGCCGATGTGGTTTATGTTTCGAAAGTGATTCCATTCCCCAATTTTATATTTCTCAAGAATAAACTGTGAACCATGAGTTGGTATTCCACAAGGAAACTGTCTTGGTTTCCTGCTTATTTCCTTGAATGCTTGCATTCAAGGAAATAAGTGCTTTGGAAAACACTTCTTGTTTGCTTTGACAATAAATATACAAATACTTCATCTGTGGAAGCCGTGGCGCTGTAAGAAGTCAGCCTTCCATCTCGTGCACAAACTTATCTCGTGCCCTCATTGGTCATGTGCGCGTTCGTGTGTGTTGGAGGAGAGGAAGGAAGGGGCAGATTATTTTCGGTTGTGTACTTTCAAATTCTAGCTTACTCAAGCTGGTTTCTCCATGCTTACCCTACCTTTAAGTTGCCGTACTATTGTAATGCCCTCTTCTGTGGCATACCAAATAAGTGATTAATAGGAAAACTTAGGACCCTGACCAGCTTGAATACATACTAAAGATCTATCATTAAGAAGTAAATACTTTGCCATACTGCAAAGCACTTTGAGCTATATTTTATGTAAGAAAAATGCTTTATATTATATTATCATTATTGAAAAAGTGCAACATTTTTGGTTGAACAAGTAAATAATTGCATCATAGAAATTTCATGAAGAATACATTTTATTTCTGAAGCAGTCCAGCTGCCTGTAAACTTAATTTCACAAACAACAGATGCGATATTTGTAAAACATAACATTATCACAGTAATTTCACGTCACATACATTCTACAGTGTAAGTTGTGAATATAAGTTAAAATCACACTTTATGTGTAAACTGATGCAAATACAGCAAAACAGTGTAATTTTCATTTACACACAAGTCCTGTGTGTATGAAAGCTGTGCAAAATCTTCAAGTGGAAATCAGCACACAAATATATTCTGACAGCATTGTCCCTAAGAGATACATTAAATGTTTTGACATTCATCTCAGCTGGGAATGCAGTTAATCCTTAACACCATTCTTTTAAAGCGCATCATTTCCAAAAATACTTCATTTAAATAGTGCAGGTAACGGCCCAGTCAAGAAAATGCAACTGTAATCCAATCTGGTGGAAAGGATCTGTGCGCCACCTTCAGCACCATACAGCAATAGCATCCAGCCTTATCATCCAAACTTCATTGGTGGTGAGCTCCCAGCAGGATGGTCTAAAAATGGCTTCCTTTTTGCATTTGCCCTTACTCGCCGTTATTGTTTATTCTCAGGATTTGCATTGAAGTATATTATCCCGTGTCAGTGCATGGAATGAACATCCTCAGCTCTTCACACAGTCACAGTGGTAAACAAATGACTTCAGGAGCCGGAGTCTAGTTTGACTAGGACTTAATGTGCTTGCCCTCTCCCCTGGCAGCTGCACTCAGTTCTTTGTAAAGGTCAGAGTAGATAAATCTGGAGTAGGAGTTGTTCTCCATCAGGCTGTAGACCTTCCTCTGAGCTGACAGGAAGCAGGCGGTAGTTGGCTCATGGAGGCTCTCTGCGATGTCATTTTTGGTGTGGAAATCCAGGTTTATCTGTGACCAAAGAAACAGTCATTATTAGCCTTTGAAATCCATTTTTAATAAGAACTTGACACAATCATTCTGTTTAAAATACGTTTGATGAAACAAATAGAAAAAAACACATTAATGTAGAGGAATACTGAAGGCTATAATGGCTACCTCTTTGGGAGCTTCATTTTGAATGAAATCCTCGTAAAGACTGTTGGCCTTGGACGCCATCTCTTTCTTTGACGTGAGGATCCTGAACTCCTCACACGCCGTCCAAAACTCAATGTTCTCCTCGCAGTACTCAGACTTCAGGAAGATATAAAATGCAGCTTTTCCATCTGTGGGCGGGAGAAAGAGAAGAAGAAGAAGAAGAAGAAGAAGAAGAAGAAGAAGAAGAAGAAGAAGAAGAAGAAGAAGAAGAAGTGTTAAAGACAAGGCAAGCACCATGAGCTGAGGGAATCATCCACTCACTGTTTGCCCATTAGTGTAAGGTAAAGGAAGTGAAAAGCCATTATAGCAGCTTTGTTTTATTGGGGCCAATAAAGGGCCTAAATTCAGCGCACAATTGACCTTTGAGACTCTTTAATGTAATCGTGTACCAATAGTACGTTGAATGACTCTTACATTTATGACTGAGTAGTTTGTCAAGTGACTGCGCCCACTGCTGCACGTCATCAGCTGTCGGCCTGAGGGAGGAAGACATGGATTGTTTTAGATCATCATAGAAGAGCAGACAACCAAGTTTTAATGTAACTTTGAATTCACACTGCAAAATCCTTGAATTTAATAAAAACAATCTGATTGTTCATATAATAGCTAATAAATCATTGGCTTATTGCATGATTTTTAAGTTAAATATTCTATAGATTATTTTTGGAATATACACATTTAAGGAACTGGTGGAATTGCATTTTACTGCTTATACAAAAGGTAAAAGTGAAACTGAAAATGTGACAAATAAAAATGATTGGTTGTCAAATTTGTTGTTACTTTTACTTATACAGTGTGTCCATGCTGCCATGGGGATATCATTTAATTTAAACAATTGATATCAGACATAGTCATTGTTATCTGGCTTAGTTTGTTTATTATTGAATCAATACATCCGTAACATGTGTGCCAAAATTCAAACAGTATATGTCATAAGTCAAAAGAAGTGCATGTAAAAACTAAAACAGAAGTTGAATATAATTCACTGTATTCAAATATAGTTCAATTCCAATTTAATTAAAAAACAAAAAAAACGGTTTATTTCAAACTAAATAAACTATAACTACCATGAAGCACAAACAAAATAAAAATCATTCTTACAACAATGATCACAATAGAAAGGGTCTCACCTGTGAGGTCGGGTTGTCATTGACTTGGAAGAGTTTGTTTTCAAAAGAAATCGTATTCTGTTTCTCCAGTTTTTCCTCCTGGAAACAAAATGAAATCATTCATTAGATTTATATAGCAGCATAATTCTGAGATATATCTTTTACAAGACATCCATAACCCTGAATCATTCTTCAGCAAGACATTAACTTACTTTATCCCCTTCTTTTCTGCAGCAAAGTCAGTGGGTTTCATACAGTCAGTAAAGGCCATGTTTTGGGATAACACACAGGCAAGGTTCTCTCTCATGGTTCAATCTCTTCTACTCCTCCTCCACTTGACAGGCAACTTTATAGTTTCTCTCTGCAGCCACCATCAGCAGTGTGGCAGGCAGGAGGCGGGCCTGGCATGGTCTTTAACGTGATTGGCTGTGGTTGCGTAAACAGTAACTTGGCCCGGTGTGACTCTCAGCCTGAGGCAATGATAGGCTGTCATTGCAAAAGTATTCCCTCCCCCAGGAGCCTCGGGGCTTCCATTAGAATAAGGTCAAGATGTGACGCCTATAGGAGACTCAAGACCCTTATTTACTGAAATAAAGTTCAGTCAGGGGGTAATGGAACTTTACGCTCATCTTTCCTTGTGTTTTTCTTGCTTTTTAAGAGCATTGTGGAAAAATTTAACAGCTCTCTTCTGTATTTATGTACATTTACAAATCATTCAAAGCATTTATTTATCACCTATTTTGCTTTACTTGTGAAAGAACCACACAATAAAGTACTACTATATATAGAAAGTGCCTTTTCAGTTTTCCAGTAGCTGTCACTTATCACTATCTCTGATGTACAACTGATTCATTGTGACTTTGCTACACTACTATTCACATTGAATGAATTAGTCACACAAGGTGTGTATCAACGAAGCATTTTTTCTGTTGATGATGGCATGTCCAAATATGACAAGTTGGTACAAAGATGATGATGCAATATCCTCTTACTTTTATGAATCTTTAAAAAAAGAAATGCAAGCTCTGCTGAACACATCCCTCTCATATCCACCTCAGTTCATTAAACACGTTAATAGAAAACATTAGCTCTTAGGTCAACTGGGGACTTTTAAGGTTACATATTTGAAAATGATCGGTTAAATCTGTTGATATGTAGAGGTTGTTTTTAAACGTCTAGGTTATCCTATCAACAACAGCTACAACCTGAAACCTTGAAACGTCAGTCAACAACACGCCAGTCAAAGATCTAACCATTTATAGCTAAAATGTGTACAGTTATATTGGTTTGAAAAAGCTTTGCTGTTTGAAGGAACTTGAGGAATTCGTTGCTGCTATGAGAACTGATCCCCCATCAACAAACACATGCATGAACATGAGATCTTATTAAAATCAACAATACCCCAAACTCTCAGCACCATAGGAGGAGGTTAGAGGGAGCAGCACTGGCACGAGGGTGTCAGTTGCGAGAAATGTCAGCTAATCAAGGTGCGTCTGTACCAATATCAATGAGATTGTGAAGCATGAATGAAACAGCTGATACTCATCAGCTGACTAAAGTTCACTGCTCCATCAGAAATCTTCCAATTGCTGACAGGCTGTTGAGAGGACACATTTAACCTGGACATCTAAAACATTTAACTGTCAACCACTTGTAACTCAGTTCAACCTTGAAAAGTAGAGGTCTGATTTAAGCAGCATGTTTTTGGCCTTGAGTGGGCTGAATAAGTTCATAACTTATGATGAACAACGTTATAAGTTAGAGCTGTTTAGGATAAAGAAGATTCCAGTTTTTGAGTCAGTGACAAATTATTCACTCTTGTCTTGAGTTGTTTGGGTCTTAAGCTTCTACATGTTGGACTTTCTTCACCAGCTAGTCACCACGTTTTGCCTCATTTCCTCTGCATAATATGACATAGCTATACTCGATTCACCATTTTTTGTTTTCCTTTAGCAAAAGTTGTGGATTGTACTTTACCTTGGTTGACAGGATAGCTATTGATTGTTTGCTGTGAACAACTTGAAACAGGTAGACTTGAGCACTTAACGGCTATAATAATAATAATAATAATAATAATAACAATACAGCAATAATGTAACTTTTTGCTTCTGAGTTTCTCTATTTTGATGTTGTGGCTCATAGATGCCCACTGCTGCTGACACAATTGGACGGCAAAACTAAAACTAATCCTTGGCTAGGAGCAAATCAAAACTACCATAAGTGTAATAAATATTCCCTTAACGTTCACTGACAATTATAAAAGCTCATGTGATGAGTTGAATTACATAAACATGCCAGAATTTACATACAGTCCTGCACATCCTTTTATGGACAAAACGGAAGTACTCTATTTCTTTCCATTTTGTATGGGCATCAGGCTGCATATTAATCCAGTGCGTAATCTTTAAATAATGTCTGCAAAACCAGTTTTTGTGCCAAGAAGACATCTAACCGCATCATCTTCACTTTGTACTATCCCTATGTTTCCATTCAGACGCTGTTTGCACACAAAGATGCGTCCATGAACATGTTGTTCATTCTATTACAGGTACAATTTGTTTGCATGACACAGAAGTAAACTGAAATCTAAAACTATTCCAAAATAAATATTAATTTGCACCACATGATGAATGCATGCTCTTGTTAGTTTAACAGATAGTCAATAACTGTAAACATTAAAAACAGTAATTAAATAATTTAAATAAAACTATCAGTCTTAGCTTGAGAATACTTACCATTTAAGACGTGCAAACTCCTTATTCCAGTAACAGTGTTGCTGGGCATCGCCATCATATCCCAGAAACATTGAAATGGTATTTCTATTGCGGAACACGACACGTATATGTACAGAAAAATAACAATTTGTTCTAGATTATCTGTGCAATAACGTATCTGCGTCACCTGCTGTGTTGTGATCATCATTGGCCTCTTTTTGCTCTCTCTGCTGGGTGAAAACACGGTGTTCATCCCATGTGTTTATTATGATGTGCAGACTGTGTGTAGGCAGACGTCTGTTTAGAAGTGGAGGAAAAGCAGAGCCAAGTTTCCACCAAGGCACGAGGTCTATTCAGAGTGCCTTACGCAGAAGGAGATTCCCAGCACTGGCTTGCAGATTGTGTCCTCTTTTGTGTTTGGGAATTGTGGCATTATTTAATTTTTTTGTTTTGCTGCTTATAGTGCCAAAAGCATGTGCCTAAAGCTGCTATCAAGCTTCAAGTGCTTAAAGAAAGATATGCAAAACATCAAGGCTAGAAAAGAAGACATGTCTGCAAGGCAGACTGCATGCAACGGGAGCCGTTGACAGAAAACACTTTAAATCAAGGAATAATAAAGAGGGCAAGGCAATGCACGGCAAGGCATAGAACAGGTCCTTAAGTTATATGCAGACGTGGATCAAACCATGACTAAACAGAAAACCAGCACCATCTAAAGGAATGAGGGGAGAAGGTGCAGGGCTAATGGAACAAGTGTAATTGATAAGGCCAGGACAGACAACCAAAACAGGTGGGGAAACACAAAGACATTAAGTAAAAACAGACATGACATAGGGGGAGAACATGTTTGTGTAATATGATATTCTCTGTTTTTACTTACTGCTTTTTTAATCCATTCCTTGTTGCCTTTCTGTTTTTGAACAGTTTAATTAACAAAATGTTCTTCCTTATTCCTTGCTCGTCTCAATCTCTGGGCTAGGCTACTACTATACATTTGTTTTTCTGTGCCTCTTGAATAAGTAAAATGACATTTTTTCCATTGGATTGTGCACTTAAGCAGAAAAAAAAAGCTTTGTGGCAAAAGAAATGTAACAATTGATCAAACATAATCCTCACAAATGAACACCTCTTTTATGATCTTCGATTACAGGTGTTCAACAGAAGTAAAAACCTAAAGTTGAGCTAAAAACAAACTACACTTCAGTTGCCTAACTCACATCACCACCACAAAGCTAAAGGAGAACTAGTGTTCAGTGTGATGACATTTAGAAAGTCTCATTTAGCCACTAGCTACCACTTCATAATTCACAAGTAAGGTATTTACTGATGTATTTTTATGTAAACAATTCAACCATTATTATGTCATGCCGCACTTTATTAGCACTTAGCTGAAGGCAGACTAGTGTTCGCGTGAAGTTCATTTATGACTCTCATTTAGCCACTTGCTAGCAACATTCTCATTTACGACAGGTAAACGCTTAAAGTGGGAGATTGACCTACTTATTTTATATTTACGAACACAATGTTTAAATTGTTAAAGCTTGTGTAATCCACCTTATTTCAGGCATCTAACCAAAAATATGTTCAAAAGAAACCCTTAACTTTAATAAAAAATGAAACTTCAAGTGCTAGCATGCTAACTCATTAGCATGACTCTTGGTGAAGGTTGACACATTGATGGCCTTTTTCCCATCGTCAAGGGTGGGGGTTATCAGGACCCAAACGCTGAATGAGGAGAAGGGGTGCAAAGTATGACAAAAGGCGCGCTTTATTCAATAAAAGCCGATGACAATGAAGAAACCTCAAATCCATAAACCGGTAGCACGAGGAAGCAACCGGACAAAAAACCAACAGGGACAAACATGGAGGTGCAAGGAAGACGTCTCTAGATGATAGGAAAGGAGGTTTCAAACTTCCTTTTTAACCTCCTTTAGCTTAGGAACCACTGGACCTCCCTTGACGAAAGGAGAGGAGAAAATGCTGCCCCACAATGCCACAACAGTCGGCCGTTCACGGAAACAACCGATTATGACCAAGAAATTATATCATGAAAGTTACGGTGCTTATTAAGCTTTTTAAAACGTAGGTGGCAACTTGCCAAAGTGCTTTGTTTTGAACGTTCATCAGTATTATAATCAAAAAGAGAAATATGAATGTTAGTTTTACTGAAATATCAGAACATTTCACAGTCTTTACTGAGCTGTGTGGGGGTTGTTCAACTTTTAAAAGATGTTTGAATGGTGATATTACCAGCGATAGATGTTAAGGACTAAGGTTTATAATAAATACATTTGTATTGATTTGAAGATATTTTCATACAATCATACGTATTGGGATCATTTGTATTAATGCAACCCAGTCTCATGGCATTTCTTGTTCACCAACACGATTTTTAATCTATTGATTCGTGTTCACCAACACGATTTTCCCCTTTTTTTCGTGTTGCACAGCACAATTTTAAAAGCAATGTATTTCTATTGGTAGTCTCACTGCATTACGTGTTCTAGGAAGACCGGAAGCTGTGTGGTTCATAAAAACATGTTCTTACTCAATATCAAGCCACAATTATTGCTTTTATTTTAAATCGTATAATTTCTGACTTTTGTTGCCATCTC